ACACAAAAACATATTGCAATGTTTTCAAAGTACATTCATACATACAATTTTTTAACCACAGCGCACAATGTAAATATAGACTGTTTCGGTCATTTTTTTTAATGCGGTAAGCCGGTCGTTGCCCTATGCAAGGCATCAATTTTCAGTTAATTTAGATTAGTACAATAAGTTCTCGAGAATGTAAAATGTATTTGGCACTGACAAATGAGTTATTTTGGGGTGATAGAAATTATCTATCCAGATGTATGGCTTGATGTTTGATGAATATTTTAAAGCAAGGTTTGTATGTATGAAATGAACAATGAATAAATAATGATAGACGAGTTGAAAAGTAATTTCATAAAGAATTCTGAAAAATTTAGCATAAAATATCGTTGACAAAAATGGTAGGCTGAGATTAGCAGTCTAATGACTGAAATTTGGGTAAATGAGGGCAGTTCAGACTAACACATTATGTTACAGGTTATTTGAGAAAAGCAAGTTTAGCCTCTTTTCAATGCGTCAAGCAGATTACTTACACCGGGGCCTGGGCCACCGATCCATCCTGTCGGGGCGTATTATTAGCTTGTTAATGTAAAGTATACGCTCTGTATGGTAACAATAAATATCCACAATCACGCATAGGGTGCAGCATTTTCAAATTTTAGCAACGAGCGCAACAGGCAATTTCAGTCCTCACGCGTGAAACATAATAAAACAACATATATCTCCGATTATACGCGTCTCGCTTTTATTTCAGTGGACAATTTCAATAATTTTATCTAAAAACAAGGTTATAGCGCCTATGAGGTACAAGAAAATTGCTTAGTATAGTTATAATATACTTTAGGCTGTACAGTCCACACACGCACATACGATAAGTGATAACACGCTTCATGAGAGTTGAGAATAAAAAATTCGTTAATATCTTTTACCACAGTTGCATATATTATATTACTTTTGATGTGTTGTAGAAGATATAGCATTTGACGACAGGTAACACGTCCCCTGATTAAAAATAAAACAAGAACAACAACAAAATAATAACATAACGATGCAAAAATGCAATTCTAGCAATGATTTAAAAAATAATAAGTCAAGTTTTATTTTGTCGAATAAATATTTTATTACTAATTACATCAATGCCAAAATTGTTGACATAAAACTGTACCAGGAAAGGGAGAGAATATCTTCATTTGAATATGTGGAACAAAATATAGCAGTTGGCACAGGACTTTGAACAGTTCAACAGTTCAGCGTTATATAGTTATCCCAAGTTAAATGACGTACATACAATCCTTATAGAATTTGGATGTAATTCTGCTCATATTGTAGTGACATATCAACCTTTGTGTACATATATTTGTGCATCGATTCATGCTGGTAGTGCATAAGGAAATAGATTAGCTGACGTCCTTCGATAATTTGATAGTGTTTTCCTACGTATGTAAGATCGAGCATGGTCCGTTGGTAAAATAAACTCCTGGATTACTGATCATGTTTGGTAAACAAAATTTCTAAATAAATTGGTAATATGACGCCGATAGGTAATTTGATGACTGGAGTTGAGGAAATAACCTGTCACCGTATAACTCAATGCATCTTAGACTCGATTAATGTATAGCACAAGTTGGGACTGTACTGTGGTCTACAGATAGTACATGTTACAGACTTTATTGAAGAAAATATGCTCAAAGCAAGTCTACGAGCACTCAGAACTGTAGAAGATTAATCTCTGGGCAAAGTTGGACCACAGTGCCTAAGACATCATTTTAATGTAGAATCGCGCATTAGTGAATGCAGATTGATGCGAAACTTCAGGAAATATATGTTAATTAAGATCAGGAAAACAGCTTTTGGGTCACGAATTCTACCTAATTGAAGTTATTGGGAAAAAAAAGTTGAGCCTTTTTTTTTTGTCTGTGAAGTACTCTGACAGTAAAGCTCCTAGCTAATCAAGTTAGATGAGAGAAAACTTTTTCACGGGCATTTGACAGCAAAATCCTATGCTTTGTATAATGATGTAATACAAAGTTCACTCGTGAATTTTGCTCCGAACAAGGCTAGATAAAAGCAGCCCCTGATATCCAACAAAAACTTGAAGTAGCTCTTAAATCAACTAATATTTGAAATCGCTTATATAATACAGTTCAGTGGACGATTACACTTCCCAATTTTACAGTGTTCCCAGTTTTCTAAATGTACATTCTTGTCTAAAATAAACCAACACAAAACATATTGCAATGTTTTCAAATTACATTCATACATACAATTTTTTTAATGCGGTAAGCCGGTCGTTCCCCTATGCAAGGCATCAATTTTTATTTAATTCAGATTAGTACAATAGGTTCTCGAGAATGTAAAATGTATTTGGCAGTGACAAATGAGTTATTTTGAGGTGATAAAAAATATTCATCCAAATGTATGGCTTGATGTTTGATGAACATTTTAAAGCAAGGTTTGTATGTATGAAATGAACGATGAATAAATAATGATAGACGAGTTGAAAATTAATTTCATAAAGAATTCTGAAAAATTTAGCATAAAATATTGTTGACAAAAATGGTAGGCTGAGATTAGCAGTCTAATGACTGAAATTTGGTTCAATGAGGGCAGTTTAGACTAACACGTTCTGTTACAGGTTAAAATGTAGGATCATAACATTCTCTTTTGTTATTAAAACTTCTGCGGCCTAAAGGCTATATCTCCGGGCCGGTATAAGCCCCAATGCTAAACAACGATTGGTCTCCATCTTAGGCTTCGTTTATTCGCCACAAGTTTGAAAATGCTCCATAAACAATTCGAACTTCGCTCGCTTGAATGAGAAAAAAGAATGAGTGGTATCCGGAACACGGCATAAGATTATAATATTAGAACGCGTTCCCAAACGGATTCCAAAAGCACACACACGTTATAGATTGGATACCCTTTGACTCTTTATGAGATCGCACAGGATAGCAATGCAAATCGATGAAAAAATCAAAAATCTTTTTTTTTTTCAAGTTTTGAAACAAATACAAAGTCAATTCAATCGATTCAATTCATCCTGGTGCTTTACAAATTAGAAATGTGAATATTTTTGATATAAAAAAAAGACTTAGAAGCATTAGGCATTGATTGATATAGCACACGAATATTGTCATTGGTGTGCTGTACTATACAGCTTTTATTTATCACAGTATACCGGTACTTTAAATGTTCTAATTAATGACAATTTAAATTCAAACTGTCAGAAGTCTGCCTTCAATTGATAAGTCATTGTTCTTATTTCGCCAAGTATTCCAACGAACATGGTAATACTTTTAAAAATGAGCAGAGTGAATAGGAATTTTACAATTCGGACTATTTCGTGATTGAATATTAAAGTTCACTACTTTACACGGCTATATTTTTAATCATCATTTATCACTGGACACAGTTAGCAATCAAATTTACCTCAATTCTTAGACAAACTAAAACGTACAGTAGGTTTCAGTAGTTCCCTTAAACATTTTCGAACTTCAAAATATCTGGTATTGATATGATATAACAGCATATGTAAGTGTACAAACTTTGCAAAACGTCATGGTAATGGGATTTGTAAAGAGGCAAAGTGCGTTCCCAGCCTTCCATGTTTAATATTCAGTGATCAAAATTACGTGTGTAATGGGGGCGTCTGAACTTCCACAAAGTATTCAAAATTTAGTGAAATAATCACGTTGTCATCAACAGATCATGAAAAGCATTTTTTCAATTGCAAATACCATGCAAGATTTTTTGTCGTTGCAGTCTCTCTACATGGCCACAAGATATCGCAAGTCATTCATCATAAGACGCAGTCGCAAAATAGGTCGGCTATCTTGAAGGAAATTCTAACATATTCCACTTTTGTAAAGCTGCGTCAAATGGTTATTTATTGCTAATCTCATTGCTCATAGACATTTGTGAAAGCTTAACATATCCGCCATTTTGTTTTATTCAGTCACGGAATCCCTGCAGTAGGAGGAATATTTCAATCCCTTCAGTGGGTTCGTATGCGCCATGTTTCAATTTATTACCGCGAGGAGTAAGGCAGCAAGACCGCGAAATCACAAGCCAACAACGGCCTCCAACGGTCGTAATATTGAATACTACTTGTTGTTATGTCTCCTTGTGACCTCGTTTACACCCTTAATTAGCAAGCAATATAATTATTTTCAAGATATATCACAAGTCTGGCTGTAAACTATAATAGTTTAAACTGCTGAAATGGAATTGCCCGATCGCATTAGTACTACAGATAAAGATGAACAAATATTTTTGTTCACATCAACAATATCCGAAAATAAATTATATTTAAAAAATAATTTTATGGGTACATATACACGTGCATTCTTGATGTAAAAATTTGGAAAATTTCAATATTATTTGACTCGAGACCCGGAATAAAATTTAGACTGTTTCGAGATACAACAAATGGTCAGAAGGGTATCTGAGTGTCCGTTACATATCACGATATTGAGAATATATTGTAGCATAGCACTCATTTGTTCGAAGTGATAGATGATTATTTGCCCGCTTGTCTCGATAGAATTAAGGCATACAGGATCTAATACTTCTCGTATGTGTCAGGTGGACAGAGCAAAATTACCCTGTAGAGGAAACTTACCCTAAATAAACTGCTTGAAAATGCGCAGCCTCTATGTGCTATGCTAGTCCATAGCTGATCCGCTGTAAATCGTCGGATTCTTGCCTCTTAATATTATTCATCTTTCAATATTAACCTGGAAATTCTGTAGATACTGATAATTCGGTATTCTACATTTTAAAATAAACATTTGTAAATATACCACGGCGGAATACCGAAACTCACATTTTCGTAAGCACAAATTGACAGGTTGAGCACAAAATTAATATATCTCTCAATCTGAGCAAATGAAAATTTGTGAGGTCGTACCAACCGATTAGGTTAGTGCTGTCATCAAAAGCTTTTAAAACCTGCCATAGGTCGGTTGTTTAGTTATATAATACCTATTTGTTGTTGTTTTCTCAGACTTTAAATTTTTCACTTGCTTTCTTGCTAACTGCGTTGAATTTGAATAACGAAAGCGACTAGAATGGCAAGAAAATATCCGTCAGGTAAGGTGTAAACTAAATATAAATGTAATTCAGTGCTTCTTCATCAATTCCAGTTTTAAGGGATATTATTGCTTCAAGTTTCCATCTATTAGCGGATAGATTTCGATCATTTTATGCCTATTCCGCTCTGAATTACATGTTGTGAAAAGAGTATTAAAAGCTTTCCTGCAAATAAAATTCAAATATCGATTGAAACCATAGAATCCAAATGTATAGGCAATTGGAAAAATTATAAATACACAAATCTTTATATTCAGAACGCCTGGAGGACGTATTCCAGGAAGAGATCGTCCAAGCTTTTCCTAAAATCGTCAACTTCAACAGATTCGCTCGTTCCAGCGCTGGGCTGTGTTTGGATAAACACGAATTTGATCACATTGTCGAAGACCATGGAAAATCTGTTGAAGAGCAAAAAATGCAAATGCTGATGAAATGGAAGAAAAATGCAGGTGAACTTTATTTCTGAATTTTGTTTATGTAGATTTACGGGTACAAAGTAATATTAACAAGATATCGCAAGGATAGAAGATTTAGGGGCTACTGGTTTAAATTGGATATTTTATAAATAAAACAAAAAATAAGATTGAAGTGCATATGTCTAGATCTCAAGATATTTCCATCTTTAAAATAATGTAAACAATTCATATATAACTCTCGCACAACTCTAACGGTTTTATTTAACATTCAGGTTCTGCGGCAACTGTTTCAAAGATTCGAGCTCTTCTTCGTGGATACCAAGCCGGCGATTCTAATGAAGGTATAGTAATTTTATCCGAGTTAATATACCTGAGTATGGGCATTATTAATACGTCACTGATATACAATGGTAGTAGATAGGTGCGTAAACAATAGAGCAGGGGTCGGAAACCCATGGCTCGCGAGCCATATATGGCTCTTTTGGTGACGGCATATGGCTCTCAGAAAAATCTAATATCCCAAGACTAAGCTTACTATTGTTACGAGATTTCAAACTCTTTTATAGCCAAATTTGGCAGGAAATGCAATTGAAAATATGTATATTTTATGGCTCTCTTGGCCAAAAAGGTTCCCGACCCCTGCAATATAGAGTATTTAGAGGAACATAAACTCCTTATAAGTACAAGTATAAAACTGACGCACCGTGCTCGGCAACGAGCGTCACCCTAAACAGCACAAAAAACGTAGCAGGCAGCATCGGTCAAAGGTTATGAAAGTTGGTAATTCGAGGCGCAAAACCATCGATACGCAAGCAAAAACCAATACAAGGTAAGTAATAATCTCCAATATTCGCAATTCCATAAGTAATTAATTCCGTTTTCTGTAAATGTGGATTTTTTAGCATTTCTATATTTCCTCCACTAATATATATTTTAATTTACTGTAACGCGCATAATTCTGTACTGATTTTCAATCAAAAATTAGGGGTGCGTTTTACACAAACAAAAGGAAAGTAAAATAAAAAAAAATTATCCCATTTTTCAATCCAAAAGTACTACAAAAATACTCAAATTATATTGGTTGCATGTTTATTGTTTTATAGTTGTATTTGAAATATTCGAAAATAGAAATATTTGTTTACAAATGTATCATAATCTATATAACAATGGAGCGAAATGATCCGTCAAAACTTCATTTGGGCCCTGTCAATTTAACACTATGAACTATTGTTAATTAGGCAACGTTGAGATTTAATTATATGTTAATTTTTTGGCAAAGTAGTTCAGTTAGACAACTAATCAATTAAAATATTTGTCCATTATAGAAGCAACAAATTATTATGAAAATTTACATAATCATTTCTCTAATACAGAAGCGACAAAAGTCTTCAACGCAAACGATGACAATGTAATTATCTTGTCTTTCTTCGATGAATTCCGCTTCTACAAACCAGCAACAAAGGAATGGCGTGAATGGAAGGTAAGATATAGAAAGAAGACTATGCTACTGATTGTATCGCAAATTTGTCTCAAACTATTTTTCTCTCTAGAACATATCCTGGCTCTCCGATGTCTGGTATTCTATTATTGCAATGGATGGTTATCTCTATGTACTCGTGGGAAATTGTGAGGTTCGTCGTACGAAATACGCTGATCCTAAACCAAAATGGGAAAGACTGTCGGATATGAAATGCAATCACGGACTTTGGCCACCCACAGTTGCAATAAATGGTAAATATTGTACACATCGCCTATTTTATTACAAAACTTAACAGAGAATCAACAAGACGTTCCTACAAAAATGCTAAAAATCCGTCATTATTGATAAAAATCGTTATTTATGAAAGGGAGTACACAACTATATGAATTTCATGCAACACTCACAAAAAAACCTGGTAATAGACACAAAACAATTATTGCATTATTTCTCTTGCACGGTTCCGAAGTTGTAAATTTGCCAAATTGGGGCATATGGTTGGATACGTTTCATAACTGATCAATTTAAGAATGTGAGGAACTCAAATATATATTCAAACAACTCGTCTTACACTCTAATAAACATGCGGTTTTTATTACCTAATTGCCCAAAGCAAAGTGTGATGCTTAGATGAAATACCCTTTAAAATGTAAACACTTGTCACTTTTTATGCCACAATGGCGGAGTTAATAGCTGACCTTCGAATCCAATGTGCATAATGGAATGACCCTGCCATATATTGATGTGGTTAGCCATCGACAGACAAGGTTTTGCAATGTGCAACATAAATGCCCGGCTCATATTCACATCTAATCTCAACCAATATTATTTAAATTATTTGATATTATTTTCTCGCTTTATTGCGAACTAGCGGCTCGAAAGGATAACAGATCTTGCAGCAAAGTAAATTCGCATAACATGGCACTTTGAAAATACATAAAAAGAGTTAAAATACAGAAAAAAAATTATACACGTACCCCATGAATCTCCATTACCTGTTAATTTACATTATAGTTAACAGAACAACCATTCGATAAATTAAATAAATGCCCTGTCCAAATTGTCATTTCTGAACCCTAGTAAACTAATTCTTTAGCTGTTGGAATAAGACATCGAAACTCAACCAGGGCTTCGGATAAATAAGAGAATTGTGAAACTTAGTCGTCAAATGTTGCATTAATTGTAAAATAATGTATATATATTAGCCGTTTGGTAAAGTTCGGATTGTGGCAAAATATTTATTTGGGGAATTATGCATTCGAAATAGAAATGGAAAAACTTTTTGATAATATTGTGACTCTCATATTTTTGGGAAACTCCATTTTAGGATGTTAGTTGATAATATTGTGATTCTCAAATTTTTGGAATACTTCATTTTAGGGTGCATCTACGTGTGTGGTGGTCGGGGATCGAACAGTCGTTCAGTCGAAAGATACAATCCAACGAATAACGAATGGCAACAGTTGGAAAGCATGAAAATAGAAATAGGTGGACCCACAGTTGTGGCTGCTACAGGTAAATTTACATTTAATCATCACATTCTTTCATTTGACTCTCTCCATTAGGATAATATATATTATAACATATATAATAGTAACAAATTAAACTCAAAGGTAGCAATGTGACCTGGGAGCGGAATTTTAACTTTTGATAAGTATCATTTTGTATCTAGAAAAGCTTTTTGTCTCCCCAACTTTTTTTTTATAATTGAACACACCTGTCGACTGTGTCAAGAAATAAATTTATCCGCTCGCTCATACTGTTATATGAGAATGGAATAAAATAATTATTATCAAGCACTAGATTTCCATATTACGAACATGTGTAAGAAATAACACCTCAACTAACTTCCAGTTTACTTCAATTCAAACCTTGTAACGATCAATTTTTCCCGCATATGTTCGCATACTTTCCATTCACGACCTGATCGAAATATTTATTTATATCCAAACATTACCACATCCCTTGCATGCAGTGAGCTCATATATAACACGTTCAGAGTATTTGATGGACTGTATTAATATTTGTTCATCCTTTCTTATTATATTAAATGTAGCTAATATATGAATCAAAGCAATGGGAATTTTCTTTGTATTTTAGGACGTTTGTATTGTTTCGCTAGATTTGATGAAACCCATCAAAAGTCCGAAAGTGGCGAAGTATTCGATCCTGAAAGTTCAAAATGGGAGTTCACTGCACCAATGCCTATAGGGATTGGCTATGCAAATGCCGCACAGTCAAACGATTTCATATACATCGTAGGTAGGATGCCGGAGCACGATTTTTTTTCGTACAAGTGGTTTTGGATTACAGCCCGTGTACGATATTTAAACAAATATAACTGACGCTGAAATTGAAATCGATATAAATTGTTTGGTATTTAGTGAACACTTAGAATTGATCCCGGGGCGGAGCAAGGCCGATGAGACGGCTTAATTGTATGGCGAACCACGGCCTCTCGTTCTGTTACCGGTGAATGGCATGTTTGGGATCATTTAGCCACTTATTTGTTTCAGATGCATGGACTTGATGAAAGAGTAAGTCGTAACCAACCAGCGGCGAGGGATCCAACAATCCCGTCTCAATAATTATCCCCCTAGCAGGGTAATCAGAGGTGCGGTGGCGAGTGTATTCATACCCATAAGCACGATGCATGGGGTTTTAATGTGTCTGTATAATCATATACATCTGTAGCTATGAATAAACTATTTAAGCCATATGCGTCAATAATCATCAATGCGATGGCTTGACGATTGAGGCGTTGAACTTAACTGTGCTGACATCGCAGATTACACATCTCGGGTTCAAATTCCATGTCCTATCCAACCTAGAGTGTAATAAATTGGTAAAACAACGCCGGACAGAAAACAATCCGATCCTTCCAAATAAAAGTAACTCTTTTTATATCGTGATATATCAGTGTCTAGTTCGGAACGAAAGGCGTGAATAAACGTCGTATAAATAATGTATATACATATATGTAACAGTAAAGTGCAGTAGGCGAGCTATCGTACTTGTACAATATCATAGCATGGTCAATGATTTGTTGGTAGTTAGTAATAGGATTAGGATTTATTATCTACATACCAGTAAATATCACTCCACCTATCTAACTATATTTTGAGCCAGTGCCATATTATTAGGGTAAATGACTGGTTCATTGCAGCACTGCTGAACTGACGCGTGGGTTGTTTAAATTAAAGTTAAATAACTTTGCTGTGCACATATTCACAAAATGTATATACTTTGCAGGTGACCGAATACTTCTTTGCTATGATATAAACAACAATTCGTGGAAGAAAATATCTTTGCAAAATCAGTTACCGGATTTTGATTGGACCTTCAGGCGTATTGTTGCTCTCAACGACAAAATATATTTTGTTATATATGCGAAAAGGTAAGGATGCATTACAGATATGTTTGGGGTATTTAATGATGCGGCCGATGAATTTCTTTTAGTCATTGTTTGAATGAGACTTAGAGAATTGGTTCATTCCGGACAGAAGTTGCACTAGTACAATATCCGGTGAATCCCCCCAGGGAGGCGGAGTGCGACAATTTTAAAAAATATATCATGAGTGACCTGAAAGTATTGATTTTACCGAAGATTAGATCAGATCATGCCCACTGCTAAGAGATAGAGGTGCCGGGGAGGGTCAAGAATTCAACGCACTACTTTATAAAAAACACATTCTCAACTTATTTTAAATTGCCCCTATGCCTATTTTGGAAGATTCCTCCCTCCCTATGCACTTATTTAATCTATTTTTAATAGATCCTTTGCTCATTTTAAGCGCAAGTCGTACTGCAGTTTTTGTACAGTTCAAATACTGGTAGTTTATTGTGTGTCTGTAAACGAGTATTATAGTACTAATAAAAAACTAAAAAATATTAGTAATACTGCAGCGAAAAAAAGCAAAATTTCTTGACCAAAACGACAATTTCCTCTACAGTTGGTAAATGTTGCATTAGGAGAATTGTTGCTCTCACTAATGAAATATATTTTGTTTCATATGCGTAAGGGTTAGTATGCGTTCAAATTATGTCCGTTCATGATATCCTTGGTGAGTTTTTGAAAAACTGTTTGAACAATTTTTTGTCGCTTATTGATTCACCATCACCGATTCAATATAAAAATATTAATTTGATTCTATGAAAGAGTCTTTTTTACTTATTGAGTCGAAGTAAAGTGTACAAACTGTTTCCCTTCAAAGCTTGTGTAGATTTAATTTTTGTCTAAAGACTTGTTTCAAATTAAGCAAATGTTTAATAAACGTTACCCATATTTTTTCAGTACATATTCCTTGTACAAATTTGATCCAAAGACAAATCAGACCGAACACGTTGAAACAGATAGAAGATTCTTGTGCGCATCAATCACCGTCGGACATGTGTGACATCACGTCAGTGAAGATCCAGAGTTTTCTTACCCAAAACAATGTGTGTTGTTGAAGTTATATAATTAATGTATATAATGTTTGATGAATATAAGTCAGGGCACATATGCTGCCGTAGTATAGTTTGAAAATCACACGACTCAAATTTATTCAATTGAATTATGTTTTGAGGAAATTCCGAAATGCGGACAGCAAACCATTCAAACAATGTCCATTAGTTTGTTTCCAAAAGTATTATAACATACATTCCAGGTGAACCTGTCATTAAGCATAAAACATAAGTAATATTCTTAATATAGGTGATACGTCATTGCCAGTTTATTTTGCTGTTTCATATACTGGCCAGTGACAATAAATGTTTGTTCGCCAATTTAATATTAACAATTGAAAAATAAATAGGAGTTTTGCCAAATTTGCTAATGGATAAAACTTTTTTCAAAACGTCCCCGTATTGTGATTGAAATTTTTACATAAATATAATATACCATAGGCTGTTATACATTATATAACTTAAATATTGAAATTATCAACATGTTTTATCTTTTGCCTACATAGAATAACTGGCATTAGAAACGGTAAATTGAAATTTTCGGTACATTCCCTATACCTAGATGACGCGATTATTTACTTTTGATTACGGTTTTGGTGAAAAAAAACATAGTATTGCTTATATAGAATCTTAGCGTCGCTTTCTCGTTTATTTGCAATGATATTTTGACTATAGTTTCTGATTTTGAATAAAATAGCTTTAATTGATAACCGTGTGGCCTTATTTAACTCTAGTTTAACCAGCTAATGAAGAATTATTTATCAAACTAAGCAGTTTAAAGCGGTGAAAGGAGTGTGAAAATCGGTTAAAAAATTTCACTCACCAAGCAAAAGAACATCGAACATGTTTGTTTCTGATATTACATCATTACATTACACATGTTCAGGCATAGTTTGCAGTGACTGCCGTATAGGGAAGCGTTTAATTCGAATCAAAAAAAAACTATCCCACCTTTTGTTTTCAATATCAAATTCTGACCTTAGAGATATAAAAATGTTAAATGTTTGTAAAATTGAAGTTGGACTATTTCCGGAACCATCAATTATACATAGTCGAAATGATAAAACTTCACCTATGAGACGGCATGCTATGCAATCGGCATTAGAAAACTTTTGCGAGTTTTTAGCGTTAAATGATTAGGTGTATCAACTAACCAACAGACTCTCTTCATTATTGAATACTAATTTTACTCATTCTAACCTAGCGCAGATACTCTCGCAAATCGCGATATATAGTTATATTAGCAAGTACAAATTTCACTCAACCCAGTCAAGTACAAATTTTAATCAAAATTCACTCACAGTACATTATCAAATACAACCCATATACGGATTTCGCTCATCCTAATCTAATCTCTTTTTTTACATGTCTAGATAATTATTAAATACTAATTATAATCATACTAACTCTTACCACACACCTCAGTACATCATGGACGAATGTTGCCCTTCTGAATACAGCCAAAGCACAAATTTGACGCATCCTACCCACCCCAAAATCCCGCTCTAAGTGTTATTAAGTACAACCAAGATACAAGTTTCATCCGAACCAAACCCCTAAGCCAGGGGTCGGCAACCTTTTGTCGCTGGCGGGCCAAAATTAAGGTTGCAAGTCATTGGCGGGCCGCACACTTAGAAAGTTAAAAACCGAACGGATGATACTTTTTATATAATAAAGATTAAGCTGTGATACATCTCTCTAATAGAATATAAATTTATTTCCTCATTGCATTGCATCCCGAAAAATTCCATTTGAATATTTTCGGCGTCATTGAACTCTTTGCATGCACGTAGCATCAACTTTTCTGCGTTTTGTTGCCATTTGTCTAATTATAATTAAACTATAGCAGGGTGGTCCAAGATTGTCGACCTCGCGGGCCACACTATTATTTTTGTCTTGTTCGCGGGCCACAATAGTGCCAAGAATATGTGAACATTGCAATACAAATAAAAACACTTTCATTGTCAAATACATTGATCATTATTTGACTTTTTTTAAAGCTAAAGCATGCAAAAACCACAAAAAAAATTTCACTGAAACGTGCAAAAATCTTAATATATCTACATTTAGTGTGAGATTTTAAACTTTTCATAACGAAGAAAGTATCAAAAAGAGAAACTGGCGTATTAAATTGTCACCGACACAACTTGCGGACATATCAAGCAAGCATTGTGGTATTTTCCCTCCCACACACAGTCAAAAATATGTTTGAATTGGTCAGCTTTATTTTTAAACTCATGTTAAAAAAATAAACTTGACTTAACAAAATAACTTACACCTAACTGCAGATTGATTGATTACCGAATTTTACCAAATTTGAGATACAGAAGGGTAATTACTCAATTTTCTGACATATAGGCAGCATTTTATGTAATAATGTTTAGGCTGGTTACAAAAAACCACCCGGTAGGAATTGTATTGTTCGGCCATAACATTAGTATTTAGTTATCAGGCATATCCAACCTAGATTAATAGATTCCTCATTCGATTTTTACTTTTCTATGAAGCCTATTTTGTTAGCACATATTCCCGACCAAAAAGATGAAGAGCCAGATAAATATTTAGACTGCCTGCACGTCACTGAACTTTGCTAGTTGCCTCAACTAGACAAAACACTAGTCAATTCAGTGGGATTAGTGATGAACAATATGTCAAAAGATTTTTCTGGTTATTTTTATCACGAAACAACTCCAAATGCGACTTTTTGTTTACCCTCGCGCAAATGCGACACGGGCCACAGATAATGAAGCGGCGGGCCACATATGGCCCGCGGGCCTGGGTTTGGACCAACCTGAACTATAGGTTCATTAAACGAGTACTTGTGAATTATATACGTGTAAGGTTATAGTATAATTTAGTCTACATGTGTCTCACAATAAATTCTGTTACGTAAAGAATTTAATTGTCAAACTGCTGGTCTGTTTCTATAATTCAGTGAAGCGTCGCGGGCCGGATTATATTACTCCGCGGGCCGTAGGTTGCCGACACCTGCCCTAAGCAAACCCTTCGAAATAAGTAATATTTTTCATATGTTCTCACGGCTACCGAAAACACCCGCTTTTCTAATCCTTCATCAGAGCATTTGCTTCTAAATATCATATTTTTAACACCACTCTCCTACATTTACGCGCGCATTTGATAAACACCTACAAATACAACACATGAGTTCCTCCTGCCTCCTCTCCGCTCATATGGAAACGTCATATTTCATATCACTCTTTTCCCAGATATCGTAATTGTTACGTTTAACACTCGTGTCTCCCTTGTTTCCTATTTATAATCATCTGGACATCATATTTTTTTCTTCAAGTCACGTGTACGACGTGCTGGATAGACACCAATTATCATTTACCGCAACCCATTCCTACATAGTTGCTTCAATGGATTATATTTAATAACTGAAGATTCTGTTTAACTGTGGATTTAATTGGATTAAACTATCATTTCAAACAACAAGAGAGCAATGCTCAAATATATGGACACGCAGAACAATTCCCCAAAAATCATATGCGGTGACCAACGACTAACATACCGGCGGTGACTTACCAGTACCTGTATCGGGGTACCGTGACGGTACAGGGACTGTCATAGATATTTTAGGTCCTGTGACAATTGAAACATCAGTTGAAATATCTCGTGATATGAGTCAATTATGTACCGTATTATCGGATCAGGTACCGAACCACAGTCAAACATTTCACATAAAAACGTTACTAAATAACATGCGTCAACTTAACACCAGCCGAATCGGGGTACAATTTTTGGTACAGTGACTGTCATAGCCGTTTAGGGCTGATGGACAATTCGACTACACGGACAACTCACCAGGCCTAGGGTGGTGTAGCCAGTCTGCGGACAATTTCATTCAAACCGCTATAAAACAAAAACCAATATATCTAACCCGTTAATTTTTTCACCGTGGGTGCATTGGCGGCATTTATTCTACACGCTAAACCTCGTATTAACTTTCTACGACAAAGGGTTAAAGCTATACAAATCCCCAAAGTACGGCACTCGAAAGACGTATTTGCGACAAGCCTTGATCATCGTTTCTTCTGCGTCGAGACTATCGCATACGCAGCCATACAGCAATCAAACAGACAAAACACGGTGGTCGCAAATTGGTTGACAATTGTTGGTCTTGTGACAGCGTGAAAACATTGGGCTTCTAATTGCTCTAAGTTTCATCTTTTTATTTCTCACATTTGTATGAATTTTCAAGCTTTTGACAGCTACGAGTTAGTTCAGTGTCACCGCGCTGTGTTACGGTACCAGAACTTCTCTATCTTTAGAAGGTCCTGTCTTGTGACAGCGTGAATTGAAATTGCAAGATGGTCCGTTGGACACAAAATGGCGTCCGATATCCGCAGAACGTTTAATGACGTCATAGCATACAAAAACAAATCTTACAGAGCTAACAGAAATATTTGAAATAAATAAAAGTAATAGCCTTCTGGAGAAAAATTTCATCTTCAACCACTGAAAATTTCAAAGCAATTAGTCCAGTAATCAAAGAGAAAAGCGACTTTTTAAAAACGTGTCAAAGAACAAGAACAACAACATAATATTGAAACGATCGTTATGTCCACTACGTGTCCAAAAACACCAGAGCTTTATATTGCTGGTGTGTCTTAGACACTTAGACAACAGGTTTGGAGGCGCGTATAAAAACATTTGGGTCATAGACGGGGACTATTGAATGCGGGACTATTGAACTAAGTTGGACTTTGGTTACCACAATAGTAACGAATAAAAGGAATCTTTTCAGACACACCTTAATAATATCCCTCCAGAAATACAGCACAGATTTGGCGTATCACCGCCTATAAACAGCCGAGTTTGATGGCAGCGCACCGCGCAAGCAAAAAGAGCATGCAGGAACAAAGGGAATTTGCCACGTATGCGACCTTTTGAACTACGATCCCATTGATAGGCGCACAGATTAATACCCGACTCAGCTGGATCATATTGGACGCG